AAGAGGGGGACAACATTCTACCGGGTAGTGGGGTGTTAAAAGCCAGATGGGAAGTAAAATGGGACACTTTTGTTGTTATTCAATTCCCATGTCTCCACAACCACAAGTGTGCACTCTGTACACCTGTAATCATACCAATTCACCACTTCACGGACACCAAATTGTTAACACCTAAACAAAAGAAGTTTTATCCCCGTAAAAAAATCTAAATCAAATTGTTGTCTTCGTTAAAAAAAGATGAGCCCCATTCGTAAGTGATCTCTCAGACTCCATCAGACAGTTACTGAGAGAAGTTAAATTAAATTTTGATTGTAGATTGATGACAATTTTTTATTATTCCTCTTATCTATGCAAATTGCTCGTTAGTAACGATGGGAGATTGTAGGGCAGTTTCGTGAGAATAATAGTTAGAAGGAGATGAACATATCTTTGTTGCATGATGAACGAGGTTGATAGTGCATTCTTTTATAGCTTGCTAAGTTATTTTCAGCAAGAGGCTAATTATTATTGGAGCAAGGACGGAAAGCTTCTTTTCACCTTTTAGACTGATTTCTCTTCAATTCACTATTGCTTCTCACTTTCTTGACCTATAGAAAAATATAGACCAATAATGCAGTTTTCTAATTTTCTGGTCACACGTGTGCTAGCGTCAATGAAACCTTGCTGGATATTTATTTATAAAACTAAAAATTTGTTTTTGTTATCCCTCCCTTTGGTCGGGTGTGAGTTTGTATTGATCTGAGAGAAAACGAAGTATATTTTGAAATTATATGAATATAATTGACACAGTATGACACAAAGAGATCAGATCATGTTTTTTTAGTTAAAAAAACAAATATATGATTTAATGCATGCTTCAAAATTCAAATAAACATTTTCAAAACTATGAACGTAAAATAAAAATTTGACTCATAATCAATTGAATCGTCATCCAAACGAGCCCCAAAGGATATGATACATTTTCGGATAATAGAGCGGGAAAATTGATTGATCAGGTTGGACTTCGGTTTAATTCATTCGCGTTTGAGCAAGTTCAGGTTTGAAGTGAGAAATGCGTATTCATGAGTCATGACCAAGTATTATTATGTTCATATCCAATTTAACGGGTTATGAACATTTATTTTTAACACATTAAATTTATGCCTAACATTTGTATTTTCCAAAAGAAAAATATAGTACTATGTCGTTATATTTTGTATAAAAATATAAGTGTAAAAAAAAATCTATATATATTACGGCTATTACTTCGTATATTGTTTATGTAAATTTTTTAAGAGTCTGTTTGGTACACGGAATTGATGGAATTGGAATTGAATTGGAATTAAAATTCCATGAAATTCAATTCTATAGAATTGAATTTATCAATTCCAAATCATTTTTTGCACTACCAATTCCAAATCCACATAATTGTTGTGCTACCAAACACGAGAACTGGAATTGAAATCCTCAATTCCAATTCCATTGTTTCAATTTCGTGTACCAAACAGAGCCTAAATCAATTTTAAATATATACGGAGTACAACAATATTACTCCAAGTGTAAGTACGAAGTATATATATACTACAAAAAGCAATAAGGAAAATAATACTCCTTGCTTCGTAATACTCCATACGTCCCGAAATATTTTTCCACTTTTAACCTTTTTTTTGTCAAAATTGGTAAACTTTGACTTCAAATTAAATAAAAATGATATTAGATATTGATATAAAAATAGTGTTATTAGATTTATTACATTAAATATTTCAAAATATTATTTTATCTAATTAATATACAATATATATTTTATTTAATTATAGGTCAAAGGTTGAAAACAGTTAACCGAAAAAAGTCAAAACTGGATGAATACTCAAGGACGGTAGTAATATTATACTAGAGGTGCTTCTTTGATGCACGGTGTATATAATTTTTGTGGACCTTCTTACATAAAGAAAATCTTTTTTTGTTTAAAAAACAATGTTTATTTAAGTAGTAAAGAAATGCTTATTTTATTCATATGTAGGTCTATAGTGGACCTTATGTCCACCATAAAACTTGTCATATACTAGTACGTAGAATTCCATAATATAGAGTACCGTATTATTTTGATCACATTATATTCGGTACTTCTTCCGTTCCAAAAAGTATCACAATTCATTGTTCAAGAATTAATTGATTTTTTGTTTATTTGATTTTTTTGATTATTTAATAAAATAAAATATTCTCATCACACTTTATTTTGAAAAAATTTTGACGTTATTTTTAAATGCGTAAATTCTAGTTTTTATTTCTACAATAATCTTTAAATAAAATGAATAAAAAAGTTGAAATTTTGTTTGTGACAGACATTTTGGGACGATGAGAGAATTAAACTACTCCGCCATCCCGATTTAAATTATCTATTTACTGCGAAGTATTTATACGATCAATATTTAATCACTTAATTTACTCACTTTCGTTATAGAAATTACCATAAATAGGAATAAAGCGTAGAAAAAGTACTAAAAGAAGAATTTCATGTTTCTATTTTCAAAATAGAAGTTCGCATTGTTGTTGATGGGTGTATTTCACCCACGACCGGTCAAAGGAGAAGGCCAAATCTTTGACCGGTCAATCTCGAAAGTTTTAGAAGGGAGACTTAAATCGTCAGCAAAACGATATATCATCGGCCAAAATATGACCGGTATACTTCACAAAAAAGTATACCGGTCAAACTACGTTATCATCCTATTTATTCCAGACTTCGATAAATTCATCCCTCGGAGATTACCCGGTGTAGTTTCTGGGGTTGGAAAGTGTCGGCAGAAGAGGATCTGCGAGGGCTTGGCGTGTAGCGACCCGTGTCAGTAGAGGACAACTGGAGATGCTGAAGAATCCATCCAAGGCACTACTCGACAAAGGGAATGATCCCCCTTACAAGGCGACAAGGCAGCTCGAGGACGAAACCAGTCACCTCGCACCACATCAGCAGCATGCCCCCACGTGGGCGCACGTGGTCCTGTCCCCTTAGCCTAGTATAAATACTCATGTAAACCTCAGAAAGAGGGATCCGAATTCATTTCCTCTAAACTCCCTTGTAAAAGCACCCGTGCATTCTTCGTTATAATACAAATTGGGCTACAGGTGTTCCACCTAAAGTCCTACCGGTCAATCTGCGTGTTTTTACCTTTCTTACTATGCCAAATCAAACAAACTATTCTAGACCCGGTCTAGTATAGTTTGACCGGTCAAGTAATTTACACCATCATTTTTGGCGCCACCCGTGGGACCGTTAAGGTTTCTTCTCCTAAACACAAACCTACCCACCAAAACACCACCCGAAATGTCTTCCAGCCAACAGATCAAACGCTACTTCCGCTCAGGTGCAAGCCACCAATGAGGGCGCCAGCATCCCTGTGGCTGCTACCATACCGGTCATTTCAGCCCCGGTGTTGCCTCTGGGTCTGAGCTCTGTCCCGACGGCCAGCGTGATCAGTCCCTTCGTGACCCCCGTCCCTTCCGCTGGACCGAGGGTAACGTTCCCACCAAGCATGACTCAGTTCATGAATGACCCAGCCAACCTACAAGCCATCCAGGGCTTTGGCCAGGTCATGGCCATGTGCCAGCAGAACGGGGGGATGCCTTTCCTCCCTGGTATGTTCCCATT